CATGATATTGATTCCTCCTATGTTTTCTTCTTTGTCAGGCTAGTGGTCTATTTTGTCAATCTTTTCAAAACACCACCACCTGTATCACTGATTTTTTGAAGGGTTTTTTTTTTGTGTGTGTGTGTCTCTATCTCTTTCAGTTCTGCTCTGATCTTGGTTAATTCATGTCTTCTGCTAGCTTTTGAATTAGTTTGATCTTGTTCTTCTAGTTCTTTTAATAATAACATTAGGGTGTCAGTTATAGATCTTTCCTCATTTCTCTTGTGGGCATTTAGTTCTATAAATTTCCCTCTCGAGCCTGCTTTAAATGTGTCCCAGAGATGATGTTATTACCCAGTAGTCATTCACGAGTAAGTTGTTCAGTTTCCATGTAGTTGTGTGGTTTTGAGTGAGTTCCTCAATCCTGAGTTCTAATTTGACTGCACTATGGTGAGAGACTGTTTGTAACGATTTCTGTTCATTTGCAGAGGAGGATTTTACTTCCAATTATGTGGTCAATTTTAGAATTATTGCTATGCGGTAATAAAAAGAATGTATATTCTGTGGATTTGAGGTGGAGAGTTCTGTTGATGTCTATTAGGTCTGTTTGGTCCAGATCTGAGTTCAAGTCCTGGATATCCTTGTTTATTTTCTGTTTCATTGATCTGTCTAATTTTGACAGTGGGGTGTTAAAGTTTCCCATTATTATTGTACGGGTCACTTTGACAAATTGACAGAAGCAGGCTTCAGAAGGTGGGTAATAACAAAGATTTCTTTTAAAATGTTACTGTTCATTGACAATGTATCTAGTCACTCAAAAGCTCTGATGGAGACATAGAAGGAGATTAATGTTTTCAGGCTTGCCAACACCACATCCATTTAGCAAGCCATAGATCAAGGAGTAATTCTGACTTTCAAGCCTTATTATTTAACAAATACATTTTGTAAGCCTGTACCTGCTATAGATATTGATTCCTCTGATGGATCTAGGCCAAGTAAATTGAAAACATTCTAGAAAGGATTTACCATTCTAGGTACCATTGAGAATATTCATGCTCAACGGGAAGAGGCAAAAATATCAATATTAGTAGGAATATGGAAGAAGTTGATTCCAGCTCTCATGAATGACTTTGAGGGGTTCAAGACTGCACTGGAGGAAATCAATGGTGATGTGGTAGAAATAGCCAAGAGAACAAGAATTAGAAATAAATCTTGAAGATGTGACTTATTTGTTGCAATCTCATGATAAAACTTGAATGGAAATAAAGTGGTTTTTTGAGATGGAAACTACTGATGGATATGCTGTGAACACTGTTGAAATGACAACTAAGGATTACATAAACTGAGTTGATAAAGCAGCAGCAGGGTTTGCAAATATTGACTGCAGTTTTGAAGCTCTAGCATGGGTTAAATGCTATCAAACAGCATTGCATACTGTAGAAAAATCTTTCATAAGAAAAAGAGTTAATCAATACAGCAAACTTTATTGTTCTCTTAAGAAATTACCACAGCCACCCAACATTCAGCAACCCTAATGGGGAAGAAACTATCAACATCAAGGCAAGATTCTCTACCAGCAAAAAGATTACAACTCACTGAGGGAATAAGATGATCATTAACATTTTTTATTAATAGAGTATTTTTAAGTTAAGGAATGTACATTACAGTTTAGGACATAATGCTGTTGCACACTTAAAGAGTACAAGATAGTGTAAATGTAACTTTTAAATGCATTGGGAAACCAAAATTTGTGTGAACTGCTTTATTGTGGTGATGGGAACCACACTCCCAGTATCTGCGAGGTGTGCATGTATTTTTATGATCTTTGTAGAAGTCAAACAACTAGCTATGGTACATATTTAGTGACTACTTCTTAACTACGTGGGCTTTTGGTAGAAAGAGAAGATAGACATATTAGGTCATCAGTGATGTCTAAGAATTACAGTGTACCCAGGAAATATAGACTCTTTTTTAATTGAGTATGCAGCTATGTTTTGTGCTTACATGTACATAATTTGATTAAAGAAAAAGTTACAAAAATTTAAAGCAGAATGGCCAACTAGAAGCATTTTATATGTCCTTCAAAATGTTTTCATTCCCACCACTCTCCTTTTTGTCCCCAAGTAACATCATTTTGCAAAATGGATTAGAAAGCCTTGATTTAAGAGGGAGAGGTTGACATCTTCAGTGAAGTTACTGTAAAACAAAACATTTAGATTTCTAACTGTATTTAAAATGGCTGGGTATGTGAGCCATCTATTTGTAATCAATTATGTTCATGGCATTTCTCTTTCCCGATAGTATCGTCTTGAACTTGAATAGGGTTTTTTTTTCTATGCAAAAAAGTATCTCTTCCAGACTGGAAGAAAATGTAAACTTCAAGCAGTATTGACTTACCTATCAATCACTTAGTATGTATGAGCCTCTCAGAGAAGAAATCATAAACGTTGAGAGTTGCCACATATAATGATGACCTTCAACACATATGAAGATATAGCATTCCTTTTCCCTTTCCATTTCTCCCTTATGATTCCAATTTTGCTTCAAGAAAAAAGCTGCCCAATGGGCAAGCTTAAAGCTATATAAGTGACTACCTCATCCTAACTTGAATATTTACCTTTATTTCAATTATTTTTATATCAATGGAGAAGGGAAACATTTTGGTTGAAATGGCACAGCATACATTGAAGTGATCCACTACCTTTCACTTAGTCCGTATGTAGTCCAAAATGCTGCACATGAGAACCTAGTTTCTCACTGGCTCATGACCTTATCTTATAAGCTGAAGTTTCTGTATTTGAAGAAAATGGCATTTTTTTTTATATTTGAATTTGCATGTGTTATATGTGTGCAAGCAAGAGTTATCCAAATCTTGTCATGTAAAATCTACCATTTACTTGATTTTCATGTAATCTTTTGTTTTAGAGATTACAGGTAGTAAAAGAAAAATCCAAATTAGGAAATTAAGCAGTGCCATTTTATAACAATATACCTGGATATCTTGAAAAAGTGCTGTTGATTTATTAGCGTTTTAAAAAAGTCTCACTGCAAACATATACATCAATTATAAAAAGTACATCCAAATTTTAGAAATGTAAAAATGCGAAAATAGGTATGGTTTATAATCATGGAAATATAGGGGATTTTTTTTTTTGCTTTTTCTCTACATACCAAATGTTTTGCTACACATGTCATTATACTGATTCATAATTTTATGTCAATCATTTATGCTATAACACTACTAAATTCTTGGTGGTCAGTCATAGAGAAATTTAGACAATAGAGTTTTAAGATGAAAATCATTATGCTCTCCCACTGTCCAAATTTCTTGGAAGAGTCCTGCTTTGAGCACTATAATAATGCTAAGGTTCACGAACCTTCCTCTGTCTCCTCAGGAACTTACCCAGATCAGCATTTCCCCATCTTTCATGGAATAAAAGGGGGATGTGGTTAGTTTTTCTGAGACATGTTGCCAAAATATTAAGGTTATATCAATAACAGAATGAATATAAGAATGAACCATCCTTCTATTAAAATAGAATGAAAAGAGACCCAACTTAATTTAGAGGTTTGTTTTGAACATTTTCTCTGTGTTCTGCAGTGACCTAGAGTTGCTTCTAACACCACACCCAATCCCACAAGGGTTTTAATTGACATGCTGATAATATTGTTTTAAATTTAGTAAGAAAGGCCTCCCACCACTAACTGTTTCTATAGAGCATTAATGACCTCTTGGGGAATTTTTCTTCCAAAAAAAGCATGAAATTCCTCTCTGAAATATTTGTTTCTCTAGGACTCTAAATGAAAGTGTCTGGAATAAAAAAAAAAGTGAGCGCAATAAAAACTAAAAAGAAGGAGGGAGAGACAGATGGGGGAAGGAAGGAGAGAGAAAGATTTTTGACAAATGATCAATTTTTTAAAAAATATTTTGTTGCATTTTAGGTTTTGGGGTACATGTGAAGAACACGCAGGATTATTGCATAGGTACATACATGGCAATGTAGTTGGCTGTCTTCCTTCCCCATCACCTATATCTGGCATTTCTCCCTATGTTCAATTTTTATTATAGTTCATTTAGTGACTTTGTTATTACCTTTCAAAAGTAAAGCAATTTTACAACTTAAAAGTTTGTCATTTAAATGTTACATTTGCCTTGTAATTCAATCAATCAGTAGAATCCATGCTTGTGGAAAAATCCTTTTGCATATTTGCATTTCACTGAGAATATATTTGACTCTTGCCAAGTGAGACTGGAAGAAAATAACAGAAAAATCCAGTAGTGTGAATGAAAAATCTACCGATTATTCCTCATTTCTTCAGAAATTTACTTCTTTTCAAATTACCAAAAGTAAGGCAGTAAATGACCGTTAATTCCTTGTTTGTTCTCTAATAAGCAGACATTGTTGAACTTAAAACTGTCTTTTCTTCATGACCTTTTGGGTTGCATCTAAACTGCATGCTGTAACAATTGATAATTTACAATTTGTTGTCATGCTAACAATTTTTTTTTCTGACAATAATTTTCCTTTAGCCCCTGTACTGAATCCTAAGATGTCCAAAATATTTGGGCCATGTCAGGATAAGATATCTTCTGTTTTGCCATTTAGATGGGTGACATACTACCTCCAAGTCTACCATTACTAAAATAATCTAATAATCTACATTTCTTCTTTTTTTTTTTTTATTTCCCAATTCCATCACTGGGGGCCCGGCCCAGCCCCCTGTGGTCAGACCCCATTCTTCTGTGGTAGATGCCATAGTGGCTACCCAGGGAAATCATGAATCAACTATCCATAAACAAAGGACATGGTTCCCCAGCTGCTGGTGGTGTTGTCTACAGATAGCTCTACAGGGATTGCCTTTGTGGAAGACAGCCACTTCACCCAGGCCATGTGCCCTTTTCTGGGCCATCACCATGCTTGATGGGAGGATATAAGGCCCTGAACTTGGCTTTCCAACCTGGGACAACTCTGAATGGCCATCGTAGTTTCAGAGTCCACTGTAAGGTTGGCTGAAGCCTCCATTAAGGCTGCAGCCCAACTTCTCCCTCTACTCAGTCCTGCTTTCTTCCTTCCGTAGGCATTGATCCAGAGAACACACTCAAGTGAAACTTCTGCACTCCAATCATCATCTCAGAGTGCTTCCTGGGAAATCCAACCTGTGACCCATTCCTGGTGCCTACTTCCTGGGCTCTACTCTCCCCCACAGCAGCTAGCTGTCACCAAGGAGGCTTATACAGGTACAATGTCCCCTGCCCTAGGCCACTGCGTGGGAGGCTGATGCAAATGGCATGTCCCCTTTTCCTGGCCCACTGCTCATGTAGCTCCCCTGAGCTACAACATTGCACTCAGCTACAGTCAGTATTTAGCTGACCCCTGTCTAAGTCAGTTTCCAGCTCTTCCACTGAGATTGTTTTCAATTCTTATCTTTTCCTTAACCTCCACAATCAAAGTTACTGAGTTCTGCTGACTGGGTAATGAGACTATCCAGAAGTGGATATTCCTTCCTTCTCTCACACCTATCTCTTCCTCTCCTCCCCACTATCCCTACTTAATGGCCTTCCATTGTCTGTCTCTGCTTACACTGTGGCCACATTCTATTAACTGGCTTCCCTGTCTGCTCTTGTCTCTCTGCTGTCCTTATCTGTGCTGCAGCCAAAGAGACCATTCCAAGGCTCACATTTGCTCTTGTCATTCTCTTGCTGATCACAATGCAATGACTCCTAGTGATTTATAAGACAAAGCCTAGACTCAGCACAACACAAAAGGCCCTCTATGGTATGAGCCCAACTGCGTCAGTGTCTCCTGTAACCCTGGTCGTCTTTCCTCTGGTGTCATGAATACTGAAAACTCCTTTAGTTTAAGTTCTGGTATACATATTCAGAATGTGCAGGATTGTTACACAGGTATACATGTGCCATGACGGTTTTCTGTACCCACTGACCCATCATCTACATTAGGTATTTATCCTAATGCTATCCTTACCCTAGTACCCCACCCCCAGACAGGCCCTGGTGTGTGATGTTCCTCTCCCTGTGTCCATGCGTTCTCATTGTTCAACTCCCACTTATGAGTGAGAACATAAGGTGTTTAATTTTCTGTTCCTGTGTTAGCCTGCTGACAATGATGGTTTCCAGCTGCATCCATGTCCCTGCAAGGGACATGAACTTATCTTTAATTTCATATGGAATATAAGAGAGCCCCTATACCCAAGACAATCCTAAGCAAAAAAAAAAAACACAAAGCTGGAGGCATCATGCTATTTGACTTCCAACTATACTACAAGTCTACACTCATCAAAACAGCATGGTACTAGTACCAAAACAGAGATATAGACCAATGGAACAGAACAGAGGCCTCAGAAGTAATGCCACACATCTACAACCATCTGATCTTTGACAAGCCCAACAAAAACAAGCAATGGGGAAAGGATTCCCTATTTAATAAATGGTGTTGGGAAAACTGGCTAGCCATATGCAGAAAACTGAAACTGGACCTCTTTCTTACAGCTTACACAAAAATTAACTCAACACGGATTAAAGACTTAAATGTAAGGCCTAATACCATAAAAACCCTAGGAGAAAACCTAGACAGTACTATTCAGGACATAGGCATGGCCAAAGACTTTATAACTAAAACATCAAAATCAATGGCAACAAATGGGATTTAATTAAACTAAAGAGCTTCAGCACAGCAAAAGAAACTATTATCAGAATGAACAGGCAACCTACAGAATGGGACATTTTTGCAATCCATCCGACAAAGGGGTAATATCCAGAATCTACAAGAAAAAAACAACCCCATCAAAAAGTGGGTGAAGGATATGAACAGACACTTCTCGAAAGAAGCCATTTATGCAGCCAACAGACATGAAAAAAAGCTCAACATTACTGGTCATTAGAGAAATGCAAATCAAATCCACAATGAGATTTACATTTCTTGAAATGTATATGTTTCATGTTTTCTTTACCCAGTCTATCATTGAAGGGCATTTGGGTTAATTTCTTTGTTTTACTGTAAATCATTACCGTTGGATACATTTAGAAAACATATATATACTCATATTTGATTTCCTTTCTATATCTTTCAAATGATCTGAAATGACCCACATCCTTTCTTATGCATCATACAGAGAGATAATCAGCAAGGTTTGGAAGTTGGCTAATATAACTGACATCAGTAACACCATTCAAAACTAAGAGCCAGTGTCAAGATCCTGGATACCCTTCCTGCCTTTACTCCCAAAGTAGCCTTTTCATAGATCCAGGTAACACTTCAGCCCTCAATTGAAGATTAAAAACATCTGCTACAGAAATTGTCAAACAGTCTTGGAACACTTAGTCAAATTCACAGGGACTCCATCTGGGACTGGTGATACTTGTTGCTTTCATATCTTTAATTGTTTCTAGCACCTCCATAGATCAAAGTTCTCTGTGTAATGCGTTCTTTCCATCATGCCATATTTACCCATTTTATATCAAAATGTATAATCTTTACCATCTGCTTTCATAGGGGAATATAAATCTTTATCAAACTAGATTAACATTTTTCAGCTAAGTGTGCCTATATTTTCTTATGTGCAAATTTCAGAAAATAATCTCCTCTTTCATGGCATGCTTTAAATTTAGAAACAGGCTTTCTGGGTTTTTCTAACTGTGAAGTATTTTTACATGTTTCTTTGTTCCTGAATTTCAACATTCGAAGAAAGTAATTTTTTAAAATCTTCTGTACCAGAATTAAATATATTGCTCTTACAACACATATCATACAGTCTTGATTATAATTTTGTACCTGTTTGCAAATCTGTCATGTCATGAAACTATAAACATCTAAAAGACGTTATTAAGTTTTAAAAATGTTTAGTACTTGGTCTAATGTCTTACTGATAGTAAATAATAAATTATTATACTGATAATGAATTATGTTATTTTGTGCTTAATAAGAATTATGTTAAAGTGTTGTGGTAAAATGAAAAATAGTAAATCAGCTAAATGTGACAGAACACTAATAGAAGGCTAAAATTATTACCCATACACAAAAATATTGTGTAATAATCTGATTTATACAAATTAATATATCACTGTTATTCATAAATAAGCCGCTATAAAATATTTATATTTTCATACTGTTTTTATGACACTGTTTATACTTTCCTACTGTTGTACATCGCATATACTCTGTTCTCTTGTACACCATGTAGTAGCTTATTGCTTTTATCCTTCTATTCCCTTCATCGAGCAAACAGTAAGGGCCTTTAAATATGACAATGTATTATTTATGGAAGGTATATGATAGATGTCTAAATCTCAAAATATGTGTGCCATTAATTTATATATCATCTCAAGTTTCTAATGGGCTATGGTGAGTTATTTTTGAAAGCAAAGATGAAGTTATTAATCATCACTGTATTACTCAGAATTCTCCAGAGAAACAGTAAGATAGATAGATAGACTAAGCTATAATATGAGGGATTGGCTTACCTGATTATGGAGGCTGAGAAGGGTATCTGCTTTCTACAAACTGGAGGTCCAGGTAAGCCAGTGCTATCGTTTTAGTCCAAACCCAAAGGCCTGAGATTCAGGGCAGCCAATGGGATAAGTCCAGGTCCATATCCAAAGGCCCAAGAACCAGGAATGCCTATTCTAAAGGGCAGAAGAAAATGGACATCTCAGCTCAAGCAGAGAGCAAATTTTTCCTTCTTACACCGTCTTGTTCTATTCAGACCTCAATGGGTTGGATGATGCCCACCCACATCAGGGAGGGTGACCTTCTTTACTCCATCTACAGATTCACATGCTAATGTCTTCCAGAAACACTCTTGCAAACACCCCAGAAATTAGGCTTTGCCAGCTATCTGGGGTTCCATTATGTGTCAACCTCACTGCTTTCCCAGTCCAGCTGTAACTAAGATAACTATATTTTCTCTAATCTCCAACACTGGAGGTAAGCATGGACCTGAGAAACACTTTGAAATGAGGAAATCCTCCTATAAAAATTGTTTTTGTTTTAGCAGACTTAATCTGTATTGTATTCTAGATAGTTATCAATTGTCTAATCCTGGTGTTAAAAGTAACACCTCAAATTGTTTCTCTTGTCCAAGACTAAATAAATGTGTCCATCTAGGGCAAAGACCTCTTCCAGGGAGCACACTATAAATTCCAAATATACCCCATCTTTTCTTCTGTGATGACCACTTCTATATGCCACTATGAAGAATGAACTAATTTTAAGGCCAGCTTTGTAAAAAAAAAAAAAATAGCATTTCTTATGATGGCATCTTTTCTAATTAACTTCAGACAGTGAAGTATTCCAAGGCAATGTTGTGGGATTCTGTAGAAATAAACAAGAACAATATTTCACTATAAGACAATGATTTACATCAATTTTTGGTAAAATTACAGCTCCAGAGGCTTTGGAATTTTCTATACTATTTACATTGATATAATGAAGGGAAACATTTATGTTTGGATCATTAAATTTACAAATATAAAGTTATCTAAAAAGCAAAGTAATTTTTAAATACCTAGAATGGTACTCTTCCATTAATTGAGTTTGTACAAAGCACCTGATAACGGGAAAGCAATATTGAAGTGGGAATCCAAACATTCATGTTTTAATACAATATCTGATACTAAATAGAAATATTTATCATAAACAATACATTTAATTTTTCTGAGCCTCAAAAGTAAAATTAAATAATTGAAAGACATCAGTTCTTAAGTTCCTTTAAACATTAACATTCTATGGTCCATGACAAAAAAGAAAAAAAACATTTAGATAATAAGTACTCCAGCCAAAAAACACATAAAACAGTAGGGCATCACCCCAAACCCTACTAGTAAAATCTAGGTGGGGTGCCTAGAATTCACCTTCCTGAGGTTGCAATGAGGCACCACAACTCCCCACTGTGTAATGTCAAGAAAAGCCACATAGAGAGCTGGGATTTTCATTTTTATTGGCATTTAATGAGCCATCACTCCAAGCCTCAGTATCAGCAGAGGCCAAGAGTGGAGCTTGTTCTTCCACACTCATGCAGCAGTAATGAGGCACTCCACCTTCCTATTGGAGTGGAGTCAGTGGAGACCTAGTAGAGAGTTAGGACCTGCACAATAGCTACCCCAGGCAGCATAATTAGAAGCCACCGCCCCTCTTGTGTCAATGGAAGATGAGTAGAGAATGTGGCTTTTACCACCAACTAACATTAATGATATAGAGGTCCCTCTTTTCCTGCCAGAGAAGTGCTAGTGAAAGTTAGCTAAAACAGACAGTTTAAATAAGATCCAGAATCTTAGAACATACCACAAAAATGTCCAGGTTGCAATAGAAAATTACTTGGCTTACCAAGAATGATGACGATCTCATACTGAATGAAACAAAAGAATCAAAAGGTATTAACACCAAGATTACATAGATGTTAAAATTATCTAATAGATGTCTTTAAAATAGCTGTAATAAAAATTCAGTGGGCAATTAAAATCACACTTGAAACAAATGAAAAATTCAAGTCTCGACAAGGAAATACAAGATATAAAGAAATAAGACAGGACACAAACAGATGGAGAAACATTCCATGTTCATGGTTGGGAAGAATCAATATCGTGAAAATGGCCATACTGCCCAAAGTTATTTACAGAGTCAATGCTATCCCCATCAAGCTACCAATGACCTTCTTCACAGAACTGGAAAAAAACACCTTAAACTTCATATGAAACCAAAAGAGAGCCCACATAGCCAAGTCAATTCTAAGCAAAAAGAACAAAGCGGGAGGCATCACACTACTGGACTTCAAACTATACTACAAGGCTACAGTAATCAAAACAGCATGGTACTGGTACCAAAACAGAGACACAGACCAATGGAACAGAACAGAGGCCTGGGAGGCAACACAACGTATCTACAACCATCCGATCTTTGACAAACCTGGCAAAAACAAGCATTGGGGAAAGGATTCACTGTTTAATAAATGGTGTTGGGAAAACTGGCTAGCCACGTGCAGAAAGCAGAAACTGGACCCCTTCCTGACACCTTACACTCAAATTAACTCCAGATGGATTAAAGACTTAACCATAAGACCCAACACCATAAAAACCCTAGAAGAAAACCTAGGCAAAACCATTCAGGACATAGGCACAGGCAAGGACTTCATGACCAAAACACCAAAAGCAGTGGCAACAAAAGCCAAAATAGACAAATGGGACCTAATCAAACTCCACAGCTTCTCCACGGCAAAAGAAACAGTCAGAGTGAATCGGAAACCAACAGAATGTAAAAAAATTTTTGCAGTCTACCCATCTGACAAAGGGCTTATATCCAGAATTTACAAAGAACTAAAACAGATTTACAAGAAAAAAACAAGCCCATTCAAAAGTGGGCGAAAGATAAGAACAGACACTTGACAAAAGAAGACATACATGAGGCCAACAAACATGAAAAAATGCTCATCATCACTGGTAATTAGAGAAATGCGAATCACAACCACACTGAGATACCATCTCATGCCAGTTAGAATGGCGATCATTAAAAATCTGGAGACAACAGATGCTGGAGAGGATGTGGAGAAACAGGAACACTTTTACACTGTTGGTGGGAGTGTAAATTAGTTCAACCATTGTGGAAGACAGTGTGGCAATTTCTCAAGGACCTAGAAATAGGAATTCCATTTGACCCAGCAACCCATTACTGGGTATATATCCAAAGCATTATAAATTGTTCTACTACAAGGACACATGCACACGAATGTTCATTGCAGCACAGTTTACAATAGCAAAGACCTGGAACCAACCCAAATGCCCATCGATGACAGACTGGACAGGGAAAATATGGCACATATACACCATGGAATATTATGCAACCATCAAAAACAATGAGTTCGTGTCTTTTGTAGGGACATGGATGAACCTGGAAACCATCATTCTCAGCAAACTAACACAAGAACAGAAAATCAGACACCACATGTTCTCACTCACAGGTGGGTGTTGAACAATGAGAACACATGGAGGGGAGCATCACACACTGGGGTCTGTTGGAGGGAAATAGGGGAGGGACAGCAGGGGGTGGGGATTTGGGGAGAGATAGCATGGGGAGAAATGCCAGATATAGGTGAAGGGGAGGAAGACAGCAAATCACACTGCCATGTGTGTACCTATGCAACAATCTTGCATGTTCCTCACATGTACCCTAAAACCTAAAATGCAATTAAAATAAATAAATAAATAAAAGCTCCTCTGTCTGAAAATGAAAAAAAAAAAAAAGAAGAACTACATGGTAACTTTACAACGGAAAAATATAACTGAAATTAAAAGGCTAGTGAATAAATAGCCTTAATAGTAGACTGGGGGAGACAGAAGAAAGCACTATAATTGAAATTACCCAATCTGAATGAAAAAGAGCAAATAGGCTGACCATAAATAAACAGACCCTCAAGGACCTTGACATTCATAACAAAATATCTAATATCCTAGTCTTAGAGGAGAAAGGGCAGGGCTGGAAAAATACCCAAAGAAATAATGTCCAGAAACCTTCAAAATTTGTTAGGAGACATAAACCTACAAATTCAAGGTGCTACATTTAAGACCCAAATATGATAAACACAAAGTAATTGATGCCAAAGCACATCAAAATTAAACCACTGAAAATTAAAGACAAACCTAGAAAGCCATCAGACAAATTTAATACCTTATGTCTCAGATTAACTAGATTGACAATATTATTATTATTATTATTTTGAGACAAGTTTCGCTCTTGTTGCCCAGAGTAGAGTGCAATGGAATGATCTCAGCTCACTGCAACCTCTGCCTCCTGGGTTCCAATGATTCTCCTTCCTCAGCCTCCAAAGTAACTGGGATTATAGGCATGCACCAACACACCGGCTAATTTTGTATTTTTAGTAGACATGGAGTTTCTCCATGTTTGGTCAGGCTGGTCTCAAACTCCAGACCTCAGGTGTCCATCTGACTTGGCCTCCCAAATTGCTAGGATTACAGGCATGAGCCACCATACCTTGGCCAATTGACAAGATTTTTTATCAGAAACCATGGAGATGAGAAGAAAATGACAATATATTTCAGGTGCTATAGGAAAAGAACTGTCAACTCAGAATTTTATAGACAGTGAATATGCCATTCAGGAATGAAATGGAAAGCAAGAGGAAGTAAAACTAAAATAATTCGTCCCATAGTTTTACCCTAAAATAATGGCAAAGGGAAATTCCCTAAACAGAAAGGTACAAATAAAAGAAACTTAGAATTCCAGCAGGAATGGGAAAACATAAGCAAAAATATGAATACATACAATAGACTTTTATTCTTTTGAGTTTTCAAAATGCTTTTTGATAAAGAAATAGTAAATTTGCCGAATGATATAAAAACAAAAAATATTTGAGATAATTATGTTCTAAAGGGGTGAGACAAAATGAGGTAAGATTCTATACCCAAACTGGTAAAATAAGGACATCGATAAACTGTGATAAATTGTACACATATATTGTAATACACAAAGAAATATACTCCAAACACTATATAGGTAAATTAAAAATAAAATTCTAAAAAGGTGTTAACTCAGAGATTGTGAAAAAGACAAAGGAGTGGAAAACAAAGGGAACAAACAAAAAATGGCAAACTCAAGCCCTAACACATCACTAATTTCACTAAATGTGAACAGTCTAAATTCACCATAAAAAAATCAAAATTGACACACTTAATTAACCACTCAAATATATATTGTTGACAGTAATGTCACTTCAAATATAGTGATATAATCACGTTGAGAGTAAAAAGGATGGAAAAAGTATTTCAAAGAAATATTGAAGAAAAGCAGGAAAAGCTATGTTAGTATCAGACTTCAGGGCAAAAAATAAAAAATTACCAGAGACAGTGATGGACTTTATACAATTATAAAAGGCTCCAGTTACAAAGAAGATGTAGCAATCCTAAATATGTCTACACTGAACAACAGAGTTTTTAAATAT